ATAGTTTTTGCACTGCCTGCTTTAATTAAATTCCAGGGTCTTATCATATTGTGAAGTCGTCTTGCAAGGAAAGCATTGCAATAGATAACGATTCAGAATAAAAAAATCGGAGAAATAAGTTTTTCTCCCCAAAATTTTTAATGCAATATTCACTTGCAAAAAAATAAAAAGTCATTCTTACAAACCACAATTTTTTTCAGCTTTAAATAATCCACAAAGTGGTTGATAAACCAAAAAAACAAATCAATCAAATAATCTGTCAAAGAAAAATCACATGTGAATTCTTTACTCATTGGATATCCCAGTTTTATAGTATTACGATAGACTGAGTCATTAACAATTTTATAGAAGTAAATCTACCATTCATCCAGGCATTGAATACCATTGCCATATCTGCTGTACATCTCAAGATTCTTAACAAAAAAAGGATCTGCAATATGATCAATCTAGACCAGGCATCTCGACTTCAGTCACTTTCTCAACGACATGATGTGACTTCTCTTTGTTTTTTTCTACAAATATTTTCATCGCAACTGTTTTGATGAGCTTTCTGCCCTGATTTCCCAACCATATTAATTTAAGCTTGCTACTAGATTTGCGAAGTAGAGGCACAGTGAAGTAATGGATAATGGCTCAGATTGATGAATCGGAAATCCAAATTCGAATTCCAGTCAGATCCATTGCATTCTCTTATGTGCTAATACCCTTGGGAAAGATATGAATCCTTTTCTTTTTTCCCCAGCTATGTGTAAAGAGCAGCAAAGACTGGGTTCTTTAGCCTTGAGTGGCAACCAGTCTAGGAGAAAGTAACACGGAATTCAAAACTGTTTGTAGCCCAGGTTTAGTATATACTGTAAAGCTAAAGGAAAGGATCAATTGCATTGGCTCAATGATCCTGAATGCGGTTAGCAAATCATGATGAGATTCGCAACTAGGTCTCGCTGTTTTACTGTTGAACTAGCTGGATAAAACCACTAGTTCTATTATAACAATTTCTTTTCTTGCCCTTCTCAGCTGTAGAATTCACTTCTGATTTCTTGGTTCCCTGATAATTATATTCTTCAAAAATTAAAATGTAACATCAATCATCATCTTCTATCTTCTTTAATGCAGTCCCTTTTTGGTCTTTTCCTCAATACTTCCTACTAAAATCCCTTTCCTATGCATTTTCATAGTAAAATCCCTTTCCAATGCAATTTCATAGTAAAATCCCATTTTGATAAATTTTCATAGTAAAATCCCTTTCCTATTCAATTTCATAGTAAAATCCCTTTGCAATGGAATTTTATAATAAAATCCCTTTCCGATACATTTTCATAGTAAAATCCCTTTCCATTGCATTTTCATAGTAAAATCCCTTTCAATGAATTTTCGTAGCAAAATCCCCCTCCATTGCATTTTCATAGTAAAATCCCTTTGCAATGGAATTTTATAATAAAATCCCTTACCAATGCATTTTCATAGTAAAATCCCTTTCCAATGCATTTTCATAGTAAAATCCCATTCCAATGCATTTTCATAGTAAAATCCCTTTCCAATGCATTTTCATAGTAAAATCCCATTCCAATGCATTTTCATAGTAAAATCCCTTACCAATGCATTTTCATAGTAAAATCCCCCTCCATTGCATTTTCATAGTAAAATCCCTTTCCAATGCATTTTCATAGTAAAATCCCCCTCCATTGCATTTTCATAGTAAAATCCCTTTCCAATGCATTTTCATACTAAAAACCTTTTCCAATGCATTTTTATAATAAAATCCTTTTCCAATGCATTTTCATAGTAAAATCCCTTTCCAGTGCATTTTCATAGTAAAATCCCTTACCAATGCATTTTCATAGTAAAATCCCTTTCCAATGCATTTTCATAGTAAAATCCCCCTCCATTGCATTTTCATAGTAAAATCCCTTTCCAATGCATTTTCATACTAAAAACCTTTTCCAATGCATTTTTATAATAAAATCCTTTTCCAATGCATTTTCATAGTAAAATCCCTTTCCAATGCAATTTAATAATAAAATCCCATTCCAATGCAATTTCATAGTAAAATCTCTTTCCAGTTTGATATTCTTGAATTATCAAAAGCTTCATTGTCCACGTCCTGTAGGGACATGGCACCTAAAGAAGAACCTTAAAAAATGTATAAGACTAGATGTTTGTAATTCATATTTGGAGTAATGTCCTCAAATTTGTTGTATTATCACAACATAATAACTGCAAAACTTCCTTCTGATTTCATGCTCCCCTGATGACTGAAACCCTTAAAAATTTAAATGCAATGTCATTCGTCATCTTCTGTGATCTTCAAACCCATTCCTTTTTTGTCTTTTCCTCAATTCTCTTCAGTAAAGTTTTCTTTTTCTCTTTCACTTTCACTTTCACTTCTTGCAACCCCCTATGTTCTCTTTCACTTTCACTTTCACTTCTTGCAACCCACTGTGGTCTCATGGATACTAAACTTTGAACCCAGGCCAATGACCAGCGATTGAAGAGAAGAATAAATTAAGTAGCACTGGCTGCTTGGTTAATGAATCCCAAATGTTTTCTTATAAGGAAACGGCAACTACAATTTCCATTCCCATTTGCTGTGAGATTTCTCAAGGAGAGCAGTCAAAGAATGTCAAGTTTAAAGATGGTTCTTCCCAAAATAAATGGTATGCTGATTCGAACTTTGCCACCAGAAACATTATCTTAGTATAATTTTGGATCCCTTTTGCTTGGGATCCTGAAGGAAGATGGCACCTAAAAACGTTTTTTTAAAAAAAAACAAAAAAAAAAAAACAGCAGCAGTTCTTGTGAGAATATATGAAACTAGATTTTTGTTATTCATCTTCAGACTAATGTCCTCATCTTTGTTGTTATTATCACAATGCTTTGTCTGTTGTGCTCTCCAACCTTTTTCAGGTGTCTGTCAATCCAGGTGACCTTCTGTAAATTTTGAATTGAACCCTTTATTTAATCTATCACATCATGTTCTTTTTTAGTATTGTTCAACTATTACTCACTCTGTTCCCACAGAGTCCATGTCTGTGCTACCTGAGCCAGGAACTGAACTCATGATTACTATGCCAGAAAATTTATAAACCAATGGTTTAATCCTCTCTACTATTGCCTCAATGTAAACAGGGTGGTCAGTATCTGAGCAAGGCTGGATTATGACCTTTTGAGGCCTCAGCTCAGACAGACACATCCTCTAACTCACCTGTAATCATCTTGATAATTTTAGTGACATTCGCTTAACTTGAAGAACACTTATTGTAAATTCTTTAAATAAGCTAGATTAGCAATCTTTTGTTTTTCAATAAAAATATTCTCTAAGAAATTGAATGATTCTACTATTTATTGCAAACCAAATTATCAGGTTTTTCGACCCAATCATAGTGATAAAAAAAGACTGACATTTTATTAGCAGCATTATAACAATAAAACAAACAGTTACTTTTGATATCATCTCAGTTTATGAAACAATTTAGAAGTTATAACATCTAGAAAATTAATAATCATTGCTTTATAAACATTTCTAAATATAACATTTTGAACTAAAGTACTGTCTGCGAATGACACATATACATACACATTTTGCACATAAATATATATATATATATATTCATTGATGCATGTTTTATTAAATAATATAGACAAGTTTTGTCTATTTATTTTAAGTAAGTTATTTAAGTAAGTTTTTATTTTAAGTAAATTTATTTTAAGTATATTTCAATATATCAAACAATACATGAACAGAAAGTCTGTTTTTATTGCATGAAAAATTTCAAAGCAACAACAAACTCGTGTATATGAGACGCTGAAGCAAAAATCATATCGCAGCTCGTAACATCACACATGACCATGTGAGTATGGAAACAAGAATTATTAAGTATGGGAAGCCGTTGGTATAAACCAATGGCTTCTGTTATCAATTATAGGCATTTAAGAATATTTGTGGAGATTTCATAGTTTATTTTGTTCAGGTTAAGTTTCAAATATTTTACTTCTCACTTACACTCTCGTGTGGTCATGTGTGACATCACAAGCTGCGATTTTTGCTTCCGCGTCTTGTATACACAAGTTTGTTGTTGCTTTGAAATTTTTCATGCAACATAGACGGACTATCATTATTGTTTTGTCCGTGTATTCTTTAACATATTGAAATGTAATTGTCATCTTTGATAATAGCTTATGTAAGCCGAAAGCTTAGATAGGTTTAAAACAATTATCAATATGGTGATTTCCTTTTGTCTTTCAATGATAATGTTATTAAGCCTATCAGACAATATGAAAAGAACTTACTTAAAATAAATAGACAAAAACTTTTTCTATATTATTCAATGAAACATGCATCAATGAAAAATTGCTGCCTAAATACACACAATATATATATATATATATATATATATATATATATATATATATATATATATATATATATGATCTCATTCTGTTCATATCTATCTTACATTCTTTGAGATGAATAATTTTCAACTAATCTTTTTGTTGATCTGCTTGTTATCCCTCTATTTCAGCCAATCCACTCTACAGCTTTCGTCAGGTATACAAACTCTATAGAAGTTAAGTGAGGATAATCAGAGTAGAACAAGAAAATGGTAATCAACAGAAAAAAAAAAAAAAACTTATTTCCCACAACTGTTTTCTGTCATCCATAATTTTTTTTCCTTTCCTCTATCAGAACAAAAGTTAGAATGCCATGACCAACTTGTTTCCAGTTTTGTATACAGGAAATCTTTGAAATTTATTGGCTGAATCTCAAGTAGCAAAAAGAATGAAATGAAAAAGTATTACAATGATAAGGACCCACTTAAAAATGTTCAGCTTATTCATGTTCGAAAGATAAACAGATATTAATGGACATGGACTGATTGATTGATTTGAACAAATATTAATAGATCTAAAATGAATAGACTGAAATAGATGACCAGACTGAGGTAGACAGATAGATGAACAGACTGAGGTAGATAGATGAACAGACTGAGATAGGTAGATGATCAGACTGAGGTAGATAGGTAGATGAACAGAATGAGATAGATGAACAGACTGAGGTAGATAGATAGATGAACTGACTGAGGTAGATAGATAGATGAACTGAGGTAGATAGATAAATGAACAGACTGAGGTAGATAAGTAGATGAACAGAATGAGATAGATGAACTAACTGAGGTAGATAGATGAACAGACTGAGGTAGATAGATAGATGAACTGAGGTAGATAGATGAACTGACTGAGGTAAATAGATAGATGAACTGAGGTAGATAGATAGATGAACAGACTGAAGTAGATAAGTAGATGAACAGAATGAGGTAGATGAACAGACTGAGATAGATAGATAGATGTATAGACAGGCTGAGATAAATTTGATGAACATACTGGGATAGGTAGATGACCAGACTGAGGTAGAGAGGTAGATGAACAAACTGAGATAAATAGATGAACATACTGAGATAGATAGGTAGACGAACAGAGAAACTTTTACAAAAGCAACAAAACTCAATGAGAAATTAATGATAAAAAATGTAAAGCATGTCTTTAAATAAAATTAGTTTCAAAAGATAAAATTACTTATTTTCATGTAATCCCAGCCATATACTTCCAAATATTTGCTTTGCTTACATTATTTTTCCTGTCAGTTTTTGTTGTTGTCTAATGTAAGTAAAAAGCAATCAATCATTTTTTTTATGTGCCATATGGTACGAAGGATTCACTTTAATTTTTTTTCTTTCAAGACTTGAGTTAAAAATCTATATGCATTCTGTCAAATAAATTTAGTGATTTAAATTTCTTAAATACAACTGTCACTATTGATTTTTGAGTACCATATTTTTCAATTGCACTTTTTTACCTCAAAATCTGATGTCAAAATCTGCTTGCATTGTATATATCAAAGGCAAGATTAATATATGTTGAGCAACAAAGGGGAAAAGCTATAAATGACATGTTTCACTGGATGTCTGTTGTTTTCAGATTCTTTAGGCCAGAATGAAAGACAAAAGTGCGTGTAAGGAAAATACATTGTGATTTTGAACATAAAAGAGGTCATAAGTGAAAAAAACTTATCAAATCTAACAGTAAAAAAACTATAAGTATTTGTTTGTTTATGTGGCGCTTATAGCTTTCCCCACTTTCTCTCATCTTCACTTTTGTTTCAGATACAATTACACATTCTAAAAGGACACACAGATAGATATGAAAAGGGATAGATAGATAGATAGATAGATAGATAGATAGATAGATAGATATGAAAAGGGATAGATAGATATGAAAAGGGATAGATAGATAGATAGATAGATAGATAGATAGATATGAAAAGGGATAGATAGATATGAAAAGGGATAGATAGATAGATAGATAGATAGATACATATGAAAAGGGATAGATATGAAAAGGGATAGATAGATATGAAAAGAGATATATAGATAGATAGATATGAAAAGAGATATATAGATAGATAGATATGAAAAGAGATATATAGATAGATAGATATGAAAAGGGATAGATAGATATGAAAAGGGATATATAGATAGATAGATATGAAAAGAGATATATAGATAGATAGATAGATATGAAAAGGGATAGATAGATATGAAAAGGGATAGATAGATAGATCGATATGAAAAGAGATATATAGATAGATAGATAGATATGAAAAGATATATATATATATATATATATATAGATAGATAGATATGAAAATAGATAGATAGATACGAAAAGGGATAGATAGATAGATGGATAGATAGATAGATACAAAAAGGGATAGATAGATAGATAGATAGATAGATAGATAGATAGATATGAAAAGGGATAGATAGATATGAAAAGAGATAGATAGATAGATAGATATGAAAAGGGATAGATAGATATGAAAAGAGATAGATAGATAGATATGAAAAGGGATAGATAGATATGAAAAGAGATAGATAGATAGATATGAAAAGGGATAGATAGATAGATAGATAGATAGATAGATAGATATGAAAAGTGATAGATAGATATGAAAAGAGATATATAGATAGATAGATAGATAGATAGATATGAAAAGGGATAGATAGATATGAAAAGGGATAGATAGATAGATAGATAGATATGAAAAGGGATAGATAGATAGATAGATCGATATGAAAAGAGATATATAGATAGATAGATAGATAGATAGATATGAAAAGATATATATATATATATATATATAGATAGATAGATATGAAAATAGATAGATAGATAGATAGATATGAAAAGGGATAGATAGATAGATGGATAGATAGATAGATACGAAAAGGGATAGATAGATAGATAGATAGATAGATAGATAGATAGATATGAAAAGGGATAGATAGATATGAAAAGAGATAGATAGATAGATAGATAGATAGATAGATAGATAGATAGTCAAGAGACTGTTAGATAGATAGCAGTTTGATAGATAGATAGATAGATAGATATGAAAAAAGAAAGACAGATATGAAAAGAGACATGAAAAGAGATAGATACAAAAAACTATATATAGATATGAAAAGTGATAGATAAATAAAAAGGTATAGATATGAAAAGGAATAGAAAAAACACACACACACAAATATATATATATATATATATATATATATATACACAAGATATGTTAAAAGGCCACAAAAACTATTATACCAAAAAAGAGACATATAATAAAGATGTCAATGCAGCTGCCTTGAAAAAACAGACATGCTGAGCAAGCCAATTCAATAAAAAGATGTAAAAACACTGTATATTACCACATACTGTCATGGTTTTTGGCTGCTATGTCTCTTCATGTGGCTGTATAACATGTATACAGTGTTTTTACTTCTTTAAATAAAACTCTACCTTTTTTATTGAGACAAAACATGATTCATGTTAAGTAGGTGAAGGCATGATTCTTTCTTTTAATCTTCAAGTCACCGTGACCGAGAGTTTCAGGATAATGGCATTGTTTATACTATTGATTAAGACAGATTATACATTCCCTACCAGAAACTATAACTAACATTCAATCGATAGAGCTGCAATATAAACCACAGGTGGGTTCTTTGGGTGTTGAAAGAACCAAAATGTGCCAGAGCAGGTGTCAATGAAAGGGATTGGTGAGCCACCCTAGCAGATGGGTGTGCTCAGAAAACAAGAATAGCTGACCATTTTATATGTATATATAACAGCATGTAAGAAATTGAGTGAAACCTTCTCTCATGATTTATTTTATTGTATCCTTTTCGTTTTATATGTGTTTCTTCTTCACCCCTTACCCATCTATATCTAGAGATAACATACGTTAAGTTAAAAAATGTCTGGCCCACACCAAGTGAGCTTAAGGATAAAGAATTGAAATGGTACATCTAACTCACTCATGTCTTCTCCCCCCTCACTTCCTCACTTTTGTTAATTTACATATGCTTAATACGTCCCGTCAAAAAAAATGTAAATTTCTTTTCATTTTTTCATTTCAACCTTTGGAAGTAAAGTGTGATGATCCAGAGCCCTTTAAAAGGGCTGTGGTGAAATAATTTATTACATGGAACCTTAAAGTGGTCTGTTTTTATTCAAAAATACATACATACATACATACATATATATATATATATATATATATATATATATATATATATATAGGCACCTTGGTGTGGTGTAAATGGTTAGCAAGCTTGTCTTGCTAAAACAGTTAAACTGAATAGAAAAGTGAATTTGATTCTCACTGGGTGTCCCCATACTTTTGGCCTTGTTCCACATCTAAGCTACAATTAGAAAATCAATATATATATATATATATATATATATATATATATATATATATATAGATATATATATATATATATATATGTAAACCTGCAAAAGGTTGATAATCTGTAAAAAATCAAATCAATCAACCAATGCATAATGATACAATAAAGAAAAACCAGTAGAAATCCAATCTTAGTAATATTTATTTGTTGATGTAAATAAGAAATTACTTGAATGCCACAGAATATATGTGGAATATTTGCAATCAAGGACTTCTATTCATGGAAACAATATATCGAAGGAAAATAATTTCTTCTAGGAAGATGATACAGTCTGAAAGGTCAGAATTGGGACTTCCAGGAATTTGACTTCATTTAGTTGATCTCAATCTGATTGATGAGATGAGATAGGATTCAATCAATTAACCAAAGGACAATAATCCAATGAACCTGACAAGATACACGTTAAGCATTAAAAATTTTGTAATAATGTACATGTAGATGATGATACAAGTCTCTGTGTATGCATGTGTGTATATGAAATAATGATATATATTTTTATATATTAAGAAATTACACGACAAAGTGGAAAAAGTTTACTTGTGATGCATTTCATCCTTCAGGACTTCATCAGACTAAATTTGTTATGTTGATAGGACTACACATGTGCACATATGAGAGGTGCTATGGATTGCAGAACTTTTTAGAAAATTTTTTTTTTATATCTATCCGAATTCATTTTGAAAAAGAAAAAAGACTCCAAATGAATTCGACTAAATATCAAAAAGAATTTCTAAAAAGATTTTTTAAAATCACCAGTCCTGAAGGATGAAACACGTCACAAATAATTTTTTCCCACTTTTTCACATGTGTGTATATATTGATATCTCTCTCTCATATATATATATATATATATATATATATATATATATAATTCTGACCTTATGCACTACCCCCCACCCAATTTATCTTTTGGAAAAGAGCTAACATTTTATTTTTAAATTTCCCTAAAAAATCATTTTTATTACCAGTTACCACCTGAAGAAGTACAATCATAGTATTGAAACATGAAAACTTTTTGTGTAGTGATTTAAAATGGTTTTATTATAATCTCTTATAATAAAAAACATTTGTTCTTTCTTTTATTTGGAGATTATATATATATATATATATATATATATATATATATATATATATATATATATATATATTTATATATATAACATATAACACCTACAGTTCCGCCATATGTGAACATCTTTTAAATAGCAGAGATTGTGCCGCCAAATTTAGTGTTGACTGGTTCACCGTGTTGGCCCGGTCACACTCTGTATTTCACCTGAAGGTTCTGGAGGCACTTTACATCGGGTCCCATAAGCCTTCTTTGTGCAAACAACGTGAGTGTTTGTTGGGACTCGCTGTCATCTGCCTCCTAGTTCCTTCTTGTATATACAAACATATATATATATATGTGTAATTTTTTTTTTTTTTTTCCACCTATTCACATTGTACATTTCTCTGTTTTAATATTGAATCTCCCGTGGAAGCCTGACGAAGAAGCGAAACCGGTTGCTTCCCCCCCCCTTGTTGTTGAGTTTTTTTTTTTTTTTTTTTTTATAATTTAATATCGTTTTAATATGTCTTGTAATATTAAATTTTATACTTTTTATTTCGATCATTAAATTTTGTACCTACAAAAATATCTTTAAATATATATATATATATATATATATATATATATATATATATATATATGAAATATTTCACTGTTAAATTTCTATTTCGAGACAAATTCAGTCTATACCGGAGTTGATGAGACTGATAAATTATATTTTCATCTGCCGAAACCAGCTTTCTCCATATGAGGTGATTTTGGATTTTATTGTTTATTAATTTTTGTTCTGTAATAATAAATACATTGAGCTCTTTTTGTGGATCCATTTTAATATTTTTTATTACTAGGATCCACATGGATTATATACCAACAGATTTATTACCTTTACTAATATATATATATATATAAATTTTATATGACATTAAATGTTGTTTTTAGTGGATACTCGTATATGATTAGGAGTGCTAACAAAAGGACAATATTTATTAAGAGCTGCAAAGAACAGGAAATTGGGGAGAGCCATGATTGTCAACGTTCTGAAGTGACAATGTACATAGAAGAAGACTTAATGTACCAGACACTTTGAAAATAGCATTAATTTTTTGTTGTCAGAACGATGCTAAAGATAAAAGGTTTCCTTTTTCTTGTGGAGATCACCTGACGACAACTGATTGAATGGATTGTCAGAAATACGAAGAGATGTTGGATATTTTCTGCATGAATTTTGGGGATGAGTTATTATTATTTATACTGTTTACAGTCAGGCTAATATCCTCATTGTTGTTGTTATTATCATAAAGTTTCAGCCATTACACTCTCCAGTCTTCATCAGGTATTTGTCAATCCAGCTGACTTACAAGGAATTTCAAAATGAACTCCTTACTTGTATTATTTACATTATTTGGACTCTTATCCTCATCTTCATTGCCATATTCACAACATTTCGAACATTGTATGCTCCGGACTTCAGGTGATTGGAATTTCTTTTTTTTTACCAACCCATACACTATAATCTTAAACTCTTTTTTTTTTACCAACCCAAACACTACAATTTTTTATCTCTTTTTTTTTTTTTTACCAACCCATACACTATAATCTTAAACTCTTTTTTTATCAACCCATACACTACAATCTTAACCTCTTGTTACCAACCCATACACTACAAATCTTAACCTCTTTTTACCAACCTGTACACTACAATTTTAATCTCCTTTTTTACCAACCGTACAATACACTCTTAACGTCTTTTTTACCAACCCATACACTACAAATCTTAACCTCTTTTTACCAACCTGTACACTACAATTTTAATCTCCTTTTTTACCAACCGTACAATACACTCTTAACGTCTTTTTTACCAACCCATACACTACAAATCTTAACCTCTTTTTTACCAACTTGTACACTACAATTTTAACCTCTTTGAGCTCAAGGTCAGTTATTATCTATCCTATATTTTCTCATAATCAATAATTCTTACTCACTCTCTTCATCCAAAAAACAAATCTCTCTACCTTGAGTGGCTCTTGGGCCTTGCATTAGGTAAGCAACAACATAAAAAAAAAACCTAACTTTTATATTCTAACCTATCATTCCATCCAGGACTTAAGAGTACCTTGCTTCTCAGGAATACATGTCAAAGATCCACTGTGATAATTGCGATAATCCAGTAAGATGTTAGATTGACAGGTTTTATTAGCTTATTTACACCATTTACATTCGGAAAATATTCCGAACGTAAATAACTATAACTCTTCATCTCAGAAATTAAGACAGAAAATGTTAGTTTATATAATGCCTAATTTTGTATGGGTACTAGGTGTGTATTAAATTCATTATCAATAGTAATGGTCAAGCAGATTAGCATATTTAATCATTTAATGACTACTTTTAATCATTATATTGAAAAAAATCATACAAAAAAATTTTAAAATATGTCTAGCATTACATCTGCTATTTCTTGATATTCCTTAGTAAATAGACTGAGGTCTGGAATTTCTGAATGGTACTCGTCATATTAACCTTTTCTTTATAAGGAAACATTTGTATTTTGGATCATGTATTTATTGAGTGAACATATTGTTACTTTCACTTGAAATATCTAAAATGTTTTTTAAAAATGTTTTTCTAGTCTATTAATGTTTATTGTTCTTTCC